TATGCAAAATACCCACGTATGAACTTTTCAAAAAAATAAAATTAAAAAAACATTGGTTCATGGGAGTAACTGACCAGCTGTTCTGAAAACAGCATGCAGAAGTTTATGCAAGCTCAGATGAGACAAAATTCCAGCATATACATGGGGAAGTGTGTATGTAAGAAACTACAACCTAATATAAAGAACTTTTAGCAAGGGTGGGTTCCTAGAGGGGGATCTCTCCAGTGGATAGATCCACATGAAGGACATTTGGGGACACAAATGTCTCTATAGACCATACATCTATATATATGTGTGTGTGTGTGTGTGTGTGTGTGTGTGTGTTTCCAATGGGAGGGGAGAGAGGGAGAGATGAGTACATTAAGGGGAGGGAAATCTAAACACCATCAAATTATATGAACATTGCCAAAAAATTCAATATAAAGGATAATGCACAAGTCCTCTGCAAACTCCAGACAAAGCCCTAGTAGAGATACAGGGAATTGGAAAAGAAACCCAGTTCAGTGTCTTTCAGGGTTGGGACCCAGTGGATAGATCCACACTGAATTGTGGGGACCTAAAAGCCCCACCTAAAAGCCCCACCAAGAGGAAGTTACTGGGGGCACGGCCTGGCTTGCTTTGAAAGTCTGAAGAATACTTCCCCACTGCTGAGGAGTGCATGATCAGCGCCTGACCATCCTTAAGACCATCCTGGGGGGTTTCCAGGTGCCTTTATAAGCTCTGTAACCCCTGTAATAAATGAGTCCCTGCTTGACAAGGCTCCCCGTTGCACCTGAGTGTTCCTGGTAATTGGGGGCCGTGTGGGCTGGCGAACAGCGTGCTTACTCATCCCCAATCATCACTCCGCGGGGTCGCTGGTTTGAACCCCAGCACTGAAGGACACTGGGAGACATGGATCATACTTTACAGACCATGTTATATATGTAAGAGGGTTCACCAAATTGGGCAAGGGGCAGTGTGGGGATGTGCAGAGATGCGAGCAAATCTAAGTGTCATCAAACTATACTGTATGAAAACCACAAAAATTCAATAAAAATGCAAAATGGGCCATAGAACTAGACAGAACTCTCAAAAGAATAAATACAATTGCGTGCAAAATACTTTTAAAACTGTTCAACATCCTTCACCATCAGGAAAATGGAAATAAAATCAAATTGAAATTTTTGTCTTACCCAACTCAAAATAAAATGATGACAACAAAAAGCAAGTATCAAATGCTGGTGCGGATGTGGGGAAGGGAAACAATTATTTGAGGTCTGTGGGAATGTAAAGTTGTGCAGTCACTATGGAAACTAGTATGGTGATACCTCCATAATTAGAAATGAGTATACTAGATGATGCAGAGACACCATTTCTGGGCTCTGTACCCTACTACGGAAATACTTGCTCATCCGTGGTCATTGCTGCTTTATTCACAATAGCCAGAAAACAGCTGACATGCCCATCAACTGATGGAAAGATAGTGAAAATATAGCAAAGGTAGACAATGGAATGTTATTCATATGTAAAGAAAAATTGAATTATGGCAGTCACAGGCAAAATGGATCTGAAAATAATCATTCTGATTTAAGTAGCTGTGACCTAGAAAGATGGATTCTGCATACTCTTTCTAATATGAGGACAACAGATTTGAATCATTAGGTGTGTTGTTTAAATTGGAGTACCCACAGAAATCAGAAAATTAGTAAGGGGCAACTGGGGGTGGTTTTTTAAATACTGATGGACTGCAAGAGGTATGACTATGTACAGGGAGTCATATGAGACTAAGCGGGCTTTGGATTCACCAAGTATATGCAGTGCTGGAGATTGAAACCAGGGCCTTATAAATGTTAGGCAAACTTACCACATGAGCTACATCACCAGACAAGTATAAGGGCATGCTGTCCTTAAGAGTGACTAAGGACTATTTCTAAGAGAGGTCATGAATGTTTATTCTATGGATACATAGTAAAGCAGCTAATGGGATGCTTATCCATGGCAAGGACAGACACAGGAATGGACCCCATCCCATATTCAGTTTAGGATCCAATACCTTTTCAAATAGAGGAGAAAGGGCTTTTTAAAGTACCATTATGGAGGCTATTTCTGCCTGCTCAAAAGAAGGAAACTCGAGTCCTATCTCTGGCCATGGATGGAGAAACGACATTCTGATCTGCCCCAAAGATTAGAAAATTGCATACTAGGCCTTTCTCTTAAGAGATAATCCAAATTTCAATTAGCTGGCCAGGAGAATACAATCTTGGGAAGACTGAGTCTCTCAATGGTGGAACTTTGGGTTTAGATCTCACTGGTTACTCAGTAAATCTGAATGGATTTATATTTGAGCATTTGTATCTGATATGCTCGATTTTCGTTCTTTGTCTATATCCTGCTGACATTCTGACAATTCCCATGAACCTCCGTACAGCTTTGTTAGCCTTAAAATCCCCAAGGTCCATTTTCCATTGCATCACAAATTAGGTGAGTATTTCAAAGTGTAAGGGTCCCTCTGTGAGAAGAGATATTTAAGAACAAATTTGGAACAACCAGCTATTGTCTATTTCTAAGAAGAGGTGATGTTTTCTGGAGGAGAGCATTGGTGAATTGTCACAGAGGTAAAGTTCTTACTATCATTGATATTTATGAAGAGTGAAAAGAAGACATGCAAGTACATGTAACGTTTCAGGTGTTACAAAGAATTATAGCAAATGTAGATATACTGATGTGATGGCTGAATTCAATAACACATTCTCAATAGTATAACTCTGTTGCCTTCTGATACTTAGTATTGTCTATTAAAATGTGAATTGCCATGGTAATGTTAGATATAATGATAAATTTAACTATATTGACAAAAATAGGCGAAGGAATGTACTAATGACCAATACGAAATGCTAGGCTGAGTACTGAAGAGACAGTCTTCACTAGTATTATGATTTTGCAGAAGATAAGTTCTCACCTGGCCCACACCACCTGGGTCAGGAGGTGCTACCTTTACAAGTGATGCTGGTAAGCGCCACTCTGTGGCTTTGACATCTGGCCAAAGATGAACATATATATTTTTTTTATTTTGTACTCTCAGATTTGCATATTAAATATGCCAAGGAATTTATTTCAAAGGTAGAGAATGAGAAGCTGTATCGCATCCTTACTTCTTAGGAAGTAAGTTCTGTTTGTGTGTATTTATATTCTATATATCTATTGTTTCCCTCTACTAGTCTCTCTCCCTAGTGCTTTCTACCCTGTCTCCCTCCAAACTCATGTTTTCATTTTCATTGTTACTAATAACCCCAATTTGGTTAGTGCTGCCCATATGCACATAGGCATGTGGCCATTTAATATGCACATTTTGAGTTTTGCTTTTTTCAGGCTAGAATATACTTGTACATACGTTTCTGTATGTACACGTGTGATGTAATGTGCTTCTTTTATAATTCTCAGTTTTGATGACATACGGAACTCTGTGCCATTAGTTAATCTACTATGTCTGGCATAGAGGATAGATAGGTGGATAGATATAGTAAATCTTTTGATATTTTATTTTTAAAATATTTTATTTATTATTTTTATGTGTATGAGTATATCACCTGCATGTGTGTTAAGTGCACCTGTGTCATGCAATGCCCATGGAGGTGAGAAGAGGAGGTTGGATTTCCTTGGAACTGGAGCTGCAGACAGTTGTTAGCTACCATGTGGGTGCTGGGAATTGAACCAGGGTCCTCTTTAAGACTAGCCAGTGTTCTTAACCACTGTGCCATCTCTCCAGCCCCTCTTTTGATAATACAGAAGTGGTGCTATTGCTAATCTTTCAATTGACTTCTCAGTTTGAGGCTTTTATTTTTTTCCTCTTTCACTCTGCCTCTCCTTTAAGTTGACAGTAATGATGCTCTCTTTCCCTAAACTCCATACTTCATTTTTAATGACACTATTTGAAAAATGAGTAATTAAAACCACATAAATAGTGTTCTTTATCAGATTGTAGTATTTTGCCTAATATATGAAACTTTGACTCTTAAAATTTCTATCTTAGCCACAGACTGAGACATGCACCAACAGGATTATTTGTATTTTTTGTTTTTAGGTCTTTTTGAGACAGGGTCTCCATGTATCCCCAGCTGTCCTGGAACTCACTATGTAGACCAGGCTGGCCTTGAACTCACAGAGATCTGCCTGCTTCTGCCTCCCGAGTGCTGGGATTAAAGGCGTGTGCCACCATGCCTGGCCCAGATATTCAATAATATCCTGATACTAAATAAAGTCTAAAACTCAAAAATAGAACTTCAAAGAATTGGAAAAAAATAAGGTACATGTAAGGATTCAACCGCACCCTTTTCATAACAATAAACCATCATGTTCCTCCCTGACGATGAGTGCATGTCTGATTGGTTTTTGTATCTAGAGTAGGTTCATGCTTTCAACTTCTATAAACAAAACATAATATCCTCAAGAATTACAGAATTTGTTTATTAAGTCACCAATCCTAAGGAATAATTGATGTGTAATGAACATATGTATATATATATATATAGAGAGAGAGAGAGAGAGAGAGAGACATAAACTTCAAAATTTTTGAAAAAAAATAATATGTGAAAGCATTATGGTTTGATTAAGATATGAAATATTTCTGTCAACCCTTCTTGCTAACAGACTTCAGCTCTTCCCTTGTTCAAAAAAAAATAAAGAGACCAGAAGTCCTCAAGACCAGGGCTTAAGTTGTTTTCTTAATAGAAAACTTCTTCCCTTTCATGGAAATGAGGAACAAAGACAGGGCAATGGCATGCTGTTATCTCACAAGAGTCAAACTGAAGCACAGGACAGAGCAACACAGAGGGCGTGGCTCAAGAGCAAGGTGTTGGCAGTAATGAAACACAGATGAACAGAGGACAGAAGACACTTAGGTTATGGGAAGAAGTGGTCTAATGCACATGTGGCATCCATGCTGCTAGTTTGGGAAGAGCTGTGATCAAGTGGAAGAGGTGGAAATAAACACTTCATTTCTCAATGTTCTGTAGGGGCAGGAGATGCAGACTGAAAACAGCACAGTTGTGAGGGAATTCATCCTCCTGGGACTGACCCAGTCTCACAACGTTCAGCTCCTGGTCTTTGTTCTGATCTTAGTTTTCTACCTCATCATCTTGCCTGGAAATGTTCTCATCATCTTCACTATCAGATCAGACCCTGGACTCACAGCCCCACTTTATTTATTTCTTGGCAATTTGGCCTTCCTAGATGCGTCCTACTCCTTCATTGTGGCTCCCAGGATGTTGGTGGACTTCCTCTCTGAGAAGAAGATAATCTCCTACAAAGCCTGTATCACTCAGCTATTTTTCTTGCACTTCCTTGGGGGAGGAGAGGAGCTACTTCTTGTTGTGATGGCCTTTGACCGCTACATTGCCATCTGCCGGCCTTTATACTATTCAACTGTCATGAGTCCTAGGGTCTGCTATGTGCTGTTGTTGGCTCCTTGGTTTGGAGGCTTTGTCCACTCCATTACTCAGGTGGTCCTCATCCTCCGCTTGCCCTTCTGTGGTCCAAACCACCTAGACAACTTCTTCTGTGATGTCCCACAGATCATCAAGCTGGCCTGCACAGACACTTTCGCCATAGAACTCCTGATGGTTTTCAACAGTGGCCTGCTCACCCTCCTCTGCTTCCTGGGGCTTTTGTCGTCCTATGCAGTTATATTGTGCCGTGTACATAGGTCAGCTTCTGAAGGGAAGACCAAAGCCATATCCACATGCACCACTCATCTCATTGTTATATTTCTTATGTTTGGACCTGCAATTTTCATCTACACTCGTCCATTCAGGGCCTTGCCAGCTGACAGAGCGGTTTCATTCTTCCACACTGTAATATTTCCATTGATGAATCCTGTGATCTATACTCTTCGAAACCAGGAAGTAAAAACATCCATGAAAAAGTTACTTAGTCGGCACATAGTTTGTTAATGGTTTTGCTAATAAGAAGTCAAGGAGGGAGAATTCTGGCTGGAGCTCATTTATTTATTTATCAGATCTCTTCTTCCCTGAGCACATCTCGATTTGTCAAGGTTTATTGCAGGCCATGGGAGGGAGTTATGCACAGCAAGATAAACACAGAGTTGGCATGCTTAACGACTATAAAGAAAACCCCAGACTTTTTGAAGTACAGTGAACAAGTGTTATATAACTGTAGGGCTTAAATTTTTTATGATGTGTGACTAAAGTCTCTGAATTTTTTATCTTAAGAGAGTCATCATTATTCTTTAAATGCAGTAATAATAGCTTCGTATATAAGAAAAATAACAACCAACTGATAGTTTTTTCTTCTATATAATAAAACATCATTATGAAGATTCTGTGGATAGATGAACACACTGTGTTTAATGGACTAATAGGTTGCAAAGCATCAAGTCCCAAATAGTACAGGGCTTTCACCTACTTCCTGATCTCCTTGCCTGTTGGGGTCTCAACATCACGATAAAACATAAACAATTTTTGCATTTATCTTCATTAAGGATATGGGTCTATAGTTTTCTTTTCTGGTTGTATCTTTACCTGGCTTTGGTATTGGGTTGATGCTGGCTTCATAGAAGGGTTTACACTGAGTACAATATTGTATAACTGTAATAATTCAACTTTAAACCTAAAAATTTACAGCCAGTTTTGAAAGAGATACATCTTAGCTCTGGAAACTGTTTTTGAATATTTCAGTGCTGTTGTAATGAAATACTTCTTCTAAGTATGTGGTTATTAAATAACTAACTTAAAAAACATAAACAATTGGTTCTGTTGTTTTTCTCTTCTGTCATCACTGGACACAGATGTTTGGATCCTGTGTGATTTAATTCTTGATTCCACTGTAGTTAAAAGTCCTTTTCATTCTCTAGACCACGGTAGAAGCCCCTTAATTTCATTGCATCAAAAGATGAATTTTTCCAGTCTTTGTTAACACAAATTATTTCTTCAGTATCACAACTGAAGACATCTCTCCCTGCCTCCAAAATAAAAGCAAGACGTCCTCATCTGGTGCTTAGTTGGTGTTATCACCTGTTGGTAGGTTTTCAGTGTTGCCATCGGTCGTGCTGTCTACACACTGCAGTTTTCTCGTTAACTCAGAGTGTGGCTGATTTCCAAATCAGTAACGTATCTCCTCCCTGACACACTTTTGCTCCTGCCTTCTGATAAGGACACTTTAATTACATCATCTCTTCAGCTACCCTTTCTCTTTTTTAAAAAATAAAGTATATTTTTTATCAAATTACAGTGACATTTCTATCATAACCTCATCCACTCATATTTGTTAAGCACTTCCAAAAATGGGATCTTGTCTTCTTACTCTTCCATTTCTCAAACTGCTAAGAAAGATAAGGAGGAAAGGAAAGTTCTTATAATGCAGACTTTTGAACAATCAGTCCCTTGTGTGCAGGCACACAATGACTGAAATCCAATAGGAAAGGATTCAAGAATAGTTTTCAAAAATTTCTTGGTGACGTTGATCCATCTTTACATGTAGCCAGTATGCCATGGTGTGCTGTCATCTGATGGCTGCTGCTGAATGCTCCTTGTAGTTCAAACTTTATTTCCCCTTCAACATCTGACCCACTGCCTTGGACACAGGTGTGGAGGACTGCATGCTGAACAAAGGAGGGTGCTCTTGATTGTTTGTTTCCTGTGCCTAGTATTTCAACGGTCATGTGAAAACTATAGAACACATTCATTTCAAAGGAAATCCCAGTATGCACACTGGCTGGTTATGCGACCCTTTTGTTTCCACTGGCGGGAACTTGTATCTTTTTCATACTTTTGTTCTATAACTTTTCATCAACTAGATATATTTCCGAATTTGCCTTACTCAAGAACATAATCAATTTTGGTCTAAAGGCTCTAGCCCATCATTTTTTCTACTATTTACTATGCTGGGTTAAGCTGTCCTCTTGGTTTTATTATATTACTCAGGAGAGATTTTCCTTGACTCTGTTCTCTAGTTCCTGCAGAGGGCTTGGCTATCCCTACCACCCAAAATTATTTCTTCCAAGAAAATCACCTGCTTATTCTCCAGAGATTAATTCTCAGCTCTACAAAAGCACAGTGGACAAGTCATTTATACTAAGCAAATGCTTATGAGAAACGACACATTTTTATCTAAAGAAATAAAAATAAAGCACTAATGTAAATGCATAACTCTGAAAGATAATGGATACAACCTTCTAGCAGACATAAATTTCTAAAGCATGTTAGTCCTGGTATTTGTTTTTGTGATTAAGGAATTAAATTTTGATAAGAAAAAAGACTTTGGCCGTTGAGTAAAATATCATGAATATTGAATCTTGATTTTTTTTAGGTTATTTTATTTAAAATTTTTAAAAGTACATGAAATTCCTCTGAAATGGGCAAAATTTAGCATCAGTATGTTCTATCAGCCATTTGTTTCAGGAGTTCTATCCATTTCTTTATTTTGATTTGTGTTTTTGTATACAGGGTCTCACATAGCCTAAGTAGGTAGTACCAAAGTTGCTTTGTAGCAGAGGCAACCAGATAATTTTGATCCTCTTATCTCTACCTCCTTAATGCTTGGATTACAGACATACACGACCACACCTACTTTATGAAGCACTGCCTTTCCACTTAACACAAGCACTATAAAAAATGAGTGAGCAATGTCCTTAGTCCTGAAAAATGTATGTGGGGCTCATGTGTGCATGTGTGAATGTATACATGTGTGAATGCATGTATGTACATTTGCATATATGGTTCTGTGTATGTGAATGTATACAGGAGGAGTGTGCATATGCATGTGGCTGCCAGAGGTTGACATTGGGCTTCTTTCTCAGTTGCTTCTGCACCTTGTTTTCTGGGAAAATGTCTTTCAGTGAACATGGAGCTCACAGCCTAGGTAGACTGGTTGACCTACAAACAAAAGGATGCTTCTGTTTTTGCATCCCTACTGCTTAGGTTACTGTGACTGGCTTCTTACATATCTTGCATATCTGAAATTAAACCCTCATACTTGCATGGAAAGCAGGTGATTGAGGGAGTCATATAGCAAATTCCTGAATATATATTTTATTTATTTTTTGCTGTATTTTTATTGACGTTTGTGAGTTTCATACAATATATATAGATCATCTCCCTTATCTTCAAACACCCTTGTAACCCCCACCAAATATATACATATATGTATATATAATATATACATACATGCATGCTTATAACCCTTTATATATAGAGAGAGAGTCATGTTTGTGTCCTCACATCCCTTCAATGTGGGTTCATCTTCATCCACTGGAGCCTGGCCAACCTCCTAAGAGTTCTACCTTAAATGTGACTGATTCTCCCCTTTACTGCAGTCATCAGTTGCCAGTAGTCCATCAGGTGCGGTTGGAGTTTCTTAGCCATTCCCTCATGTCTATGATCAGATTTTGGATGGTTTGAGCTTTCACGTCCAGGCTGCATTCCCTGCTAAAGGGAGGGGTGCTGAAAACAGCAGTTCTGATATCCCTATCTTGCCCAACACTGTGAGACTTGCAGGAGAAAACTGGCCAGGTCAAAAGTCCAAGCCGGGCGTGGTGGTGCACGCCTTTGATCCTAGCACTTGGGAAGCAGAGGCAGGCAGATCTTTGTGAGTTCGAAGCCAGCCTGGTCTACATAGTGAGCTCTAGGATAGCTGGAGCTACAGGGAGACCCTGTCTCAAGAAGACAAAAAACATTAAAAAGTCCAGGCTCATTGCTCTGTTGGAAAGCATCTTGTTCAATAGCCTTCAGCTCATCTCCCCGTCCTGAACAAATAACTCAGCTATCATTAGCTAAGAGATTAGGCCACGTTAAAGGTTTACTCCTAAGCTAAAAGCTCAAATTTCACCATGCTTTTAGCCCTAAGAAAGAAAACATTGTGGCCAATAAATTACTGGACAGACATTGGTAACCTTGAATCAAAGTTTAAAGGTTATATGTCCTGTCTCTTGGTGCCCTAAATCTTTGTATGCGGTTGTCATACCCCAAGTGGCTGCCAGTTCCTTGTAATGTACGAAACCATCTGAATTTTGTAATAAACGTCTTGTGTGAAAGAAATGCAAGTCCTAGAGTCACTAGTTACTCTGCTGCTGATCCAGCCTCTCTGTCCCTGAGGCCAGTAGATTCCCTGCTGAGCAAAGCAAACTCAAGTCCAGATACGGCTTGTGTAGGATTTGTCCATGCTGTCACCATTGCTGTGAGTTAATACGAGTAACTAATCAGCTGTCTGGAAAACTCTACTTCCTTGTGGTCATCCAATACCTCTGGCTCTGACAGTCTTTATGTCCCCTCTTGGACAATGATCCTTGATCCTTGGGAGGCAGAAGTTTGATCTATGTGTCCTGTTCAGGGATAAGCAGTCTGAAGTCTCTTATTCTCCACATGTTGGCCAGTTGTGGTTCTGTGTTAATCACCATCTGCTGCATAGGGAAATGTCCCTGCTGAGAGTTGAGAATGCATTAATCTATGGGAATAAAAATAAGTCATGGGAAATCAGTTAATACTGTGTCCGTTTATCAGAATAACTGCACTAGGCTTTCTCCCATAGCCTATGGGATGTCTAGCCTACAGTTCCTAAGCCTGTAATCAGTGTTTGGTATGGGTTCCATCCTGTGAAGCAGACCTTAAATTCAATTAGAAAGTAGTTGGTTACTCCTATAATATTCATACCACGATTGCACCAGTGGGTGTATCTCGCCAGGCCATTTATTGCTGTACCTCACAGGATTCACAGCTGGATAAGGTTCATGCTAAACTTTCTCTTCAGGTAGTTTGCATATGGCACTATAAAAGGTATACAGTGGAGTTGAGACTTTCGAATAGCACCAGCTTGATCTATCCTTGTCTGTTCTACAGCTTACGATATGCAGAGTTTTTAGCAATAGGGTCTTACTGTGAGGTTGTGATTGGTAACTAAGAGCAGGTGCAATAGGTGTTTGAGGGTCTATGGGATTCCT